AGGAAGGAAGGAAGGAAGGAAGGAAGGAAGGAAGGAAGGAAGGAAGGCAGGCACTCTTCTTACTTGCCATTTGAATTAGTGATTCAGAGATGACAGCTCTCTGTTCTGAAAGAGCTTACTATGGACCACAGGAAGCAGTCCCCTCCAGGGACTCCCCACTGGCCCCAATCTGGTCTGCTGTCCTAGTGTAATTATGAAGTGTCTCTCCTTTCACATCCACAGATGACCCAGTCTGGAAGACAAATGATATGGCCTCCTGTGTGGCAGGCACAGGGCCAGGACATTAGCCCCTGTCATCTGTAACCACAGGGTAGCTGAGGCTCTCTCAGAGGTCATGACCCACAGCAGTGGACCCCTCCCTTGCCCACTTCTCCATCCTCCTGTTGGTGCTTGCTCAATTCTTTTCTTTTAGTATCCACTTCTCTTCCACAGTCTCTGCATATCTATGTGTGCCTCCATCTTTTTCCCTTTCTCTCTGACGCCCCTAATTCTCTCCATGTTTTGAGTTTTGTAATTTTGTTGTAAGCCCAGCCCTCTCACATCTCCATTAGCTTCTGGTGGCTACGTTCCCCTTCTCTGAATCACCTACTGCCACGTGTGAGGTGTTTTCTGGGGACTGAGAAAGCGCTGTATGTGCCCATATTGGAGGAGACACTATCTCCCTCTACACATAGCCTGCTATCTAAGTTCACATCCAGGCAGCTCAACCCTGATTCTCCAATAGTGTCTGCAATATATGCCATGAGACCTAGTGTATGCTGTAGAAGGAGAAGGAGTGTCAGTCCCACAACAGTATGCTCCGGGTGAACAATGGGGATGATTCTTGTCTACCCTGTGCTTTGAAGACCACTGTCAGGACCTTCACACCCAGACAACTTATCATTTCAGGTATGGGTCAGAGTCCTGAAGGCACTCACTGAAATCTGTACATGCTTGTGTTCTGAGATGAAGAATTAGACCAGGGACTCTTGAATAGTGGTAGAAATAGAAATAGCTTATTAAGGAAGACAGCACCCTCCAGAGAACGGAAATGGACTGGTGAGCTGGGACCAATCATGACCCTGCAGGGGTCAGTCATGTAGCTCTCGAGTTTGTGCTCTGCCTGGGATTCTTCAGCATGCTCTGTCCTGACATGTAGCCTTGGCGGATGGGGAGCAGTAGCCCTCCAGCTTGGCGGCCAACAGGCTTCTCTCATATGTTAATCTTAGTGGCTCCCTCTCTCTCCACTCTACCCTCCACTCTGAGAGAAGCACATTATGCTACCTTCCTTATGAGTGGAGGAAAAGGGTGGAGAATAGATACCAAGCCAGGTCCTCTGTTACCAAAGTCTGTGTGCTTCCTTGCTGCCTGTGCCCTGGACTACTCGCTGCCTGACCCTACCTGCCCTTGGGGGTTGGAGGTGAGGTGGCATGGAATCAATGACACAGCTCATCTGAACGCTACTACAAGCTCCTTTAATACCCTCCACCAGTGCCCCATTTGTTGGCTTTCGCCAGAAAGCATCTCTTCTAAACAGCAGTTCCCAATTGTCTGGCAATGGCTGGGTGAGCAATCCTTGGTCTTGGATAGGAGATGCCTTTTCAGCTGCTCCCTACTCCCCCCCCCATATTTACACCATTCCTCCCCCATATTTATACCATTCCTCCTACACTTCCTAAAACACTTTGTGGGACTCTTCAAATGGCACTGTCTTGGGAACCCAAAAGGCAGAGCTCACTAGCATGTAGAAGCT